CATAATTCAAAAAGAGACATGTACCACAGTGTTCACTGCAGCACTATTTACAATAGCCAGGCCATGGAACCAATGTAAATGTCCATCGATAGATGAATGGATAAAGAAGACGTGGCACACATATACAATGGAATATTACTCAGCCATAAAAAGAAATGAAATTGAGTTATTTGTAGTGAGGTGGATGGACCTAGAGTCTGTCATACAGAGTGAAGCAAGTCAGAAAGAGAAAAACAAATTCCGTATGCTAACAGTATTTGTTTAGATAAGGAATCTAAAAAAAAAGGTACTGATGAACCTAGTTGCAGGGCAGGAATAAAGACGTAGGCATAGAGAATGGACTTGAGGACACGGGGTGGAAGGGGGAAGCTGGGGCCAAGTGAGAGTAGCATCACCATATATACACTACCAAATGTAAAATAGTTAGTGGGAAGCAGCAGCATAGCACAGGGAGATCATCTCAGTGCTTTGTGATGACCTAGGGGGTGGGATAGGGATGATGGGAGAGAGGCTCGGGGGGGGGATATGGGGACATATGTATGCATATGGCTGATTCACTTTGGTGTACAGCAGAAACTAACACAGTATTGTGAAGCAATTATACTCCAATAAAAATCTATTAAAAAAAAAAAAAACAGCAGGAACTGGAGAAACACTTTCAGAAGAGTGAAGGAAAATTAGTTCACTCCAGAATTACATACCCAGCCAAACTATCAGTTAGGTGTGAGGATAAAACAGATATTTTCAGCCATGTAAGGTTTCAAAATTTATCTTGCATGCGCCTACTTCTGGAAACTTCTGGTAATTGTGTTTCACCAAACCAAGGAACTAAATCAACAAAAAAAGAAATGGGATCCAATAAAAAAGATAGAGGTGATAAGAATCCCCAGGATTGTGGTATAGGACAGGGGTCCCCAACCCCTGGGCCGTGGACTGGTACCGGTCCACGGCCCATTAGGAACCAGGCCACACAGCAGAAGGTGAGCAGTGGCTGAGCAAGCAAACTTCATCTGCTGCTCCCCATTGCTCCTCATCGCTTGCATTACCACCTGAACCATCCCCCCTCTCCCTGTCTGTGGAAAAATTGCCTTCCACGAAATCAGTCCCTGGTGCCAGAAAGGTTGGGAACTGCTGGTATAGGGAGATCTCAGGATGACAGCTATAATAGTAAGTGGAAATGGTAACCAATCTATATTGTAACAGTTAAGAATACTCCAGGGCTTCCCTGGTGGCGCAGTGGTTGAGAGTCCGCCTGCTGATGCAGGGGACATGGATTCGTGCCCTGGTCCAGGAAGATCCCACATGCCGCGGAGCGGCTGGGCCCGTGAGCCGTGGCCGCTGAGCCTGCGCGTCCGGAGCCTGTGCTCCGCAACGGGAGAGGCCACAACAGTGAGAGGCCCGCATACCGCAAAGAAAAAAGAAAGAATACTCCAGAAGAGGCTCTTTCATTAAAATAAAATTGATAGATTACCTGAATCATTTGAGAGATTTTAACAACAGAGAATTTGTGGTTGAATTAATAAGTACATAATAAATTAAGCAAATAAAAAATAAGATACTTATTAACTTGGAGGGAACAGAAAGTAGTATCAGAAAGGAAAAGCAGTAATACTCCAAAAACTATAATTTTCAAAAGATAAAACTATACATAGCACATTTAAAAAGTATTGAGAAGATACAATAATAAAGCATTTTAGTATATAAGGAAAAAAATGATTAATTTAGATTTTTACATCAGATAAAAAAGGCAAATGGTAGAGTATCATTCCAAAAAATACTTCTCTTTCAAATAGTTAAACCAGTGAGCACCAGGCCTATTACCATAACTAATTCCTGATCAAAATGAGAAAAATCACAAATGGAACCCCTAGTGGGTATATCAGTCAGGACCTCAACAGGAAGTATGTGGCATACTACACAAGGGTTTAGTGAAGGGGTTATTTATGAAGTAAGGCCACTGTTGGAAAACCAGAAAGAAGAGTGAGGGGGCCCCTGTGTTAGGAATAGCAGGTGTTACAAACCAAAGTTATAAAGACACAAAAGGAGGGAGCTGAACACAGTAGAATCGAGTATGGGAAGGATAACCTTTTTTTTTTTTTCAATTAAAATTTTTTTTTAAAAATATTGAAGTATAGTTGATTTACCATGTTGTGTTAATTTCTGCTGTACAGCAAAGTGATTCAGTTATACATATATACATTCTTTTCCATTATGGTTTATCACAGACTATTGAATATAGTTCCCTGTGCTATACAGTAGAACCTTGTTGTTTATCCATCCCATATATAATAGTTAGCATCCGCTAATCCCAAACTCTGAATCCTTCCCTCCCTGACCTCCCCTCTCCCTTGGCAACCACAAGTCTGTTCTCTATGTCCATGAGTCTGTTTCGGTTTCGTAGATCTGTTCATTTCTGTTGTATTTTACAAGGAAAGGATCACCTTGAGAGGAGCTGTGACTTTTGACCTTTGGTGGAGATTATGCAACCAGCTCAAGGCAACTCTGCAGAGATGAAGTGGGTAAATACAGGACCTCTCCTCACTCCTGCTCTCTGACCTCCTACAGGGGCTCCCCATTGGAGAAACCCAACTGGAAACCAGAAGAAAAGTGACCCTGTTAAAATAATCTGCACAGGTCTGACTCTGCGGCAGAGAACTTAGTGCAAAGGGTTGAAGAGCAAGGTGGAAGGGTGGAAATGGACGATATCTGGCACAGTGAACATGGCATGCACTCATCCATATAATTTTTTTTTTAATATAAATTTTTTTTATTTTTGGCTGTGTTGGGTCTTTGTTGCTGCGCACAGGCTTTCTCTAATTGCAGTGAGCAGGGGCTACTCTTCGTTGTGGTGCGCAGGCTTCTCATTGTGGTGGCTTCTCGTGTTGCAGAGCATGGGCTCTAGGCACATGGGCTTCAGTGGTTGTGGCTCGCAGGTTCTAGAGCACAGGCTCAGCAGTTGTGGCACACAGGCTTAGTTGAGCCGCGGCATGTGGGATCTTCCCAGACCAGGGCTCAAACCCAGGTCCCCCGCATTGCCAGGCGGATTCTCAACCACTGTGCCACTAGGGAAGCCCCATATAATTTCTTATATCCCAATTTTTACTGCTAATTACCACATTAAGAAAATACCTAAAAAATAAAAAGAAAAGAAAAGAAAAGAACTTATACTTTAGAAAATTATCCATTTTATTTTAGTTTGCTTCAGACATGATAAGGCTGAATAATAATAATAATAAATCAAATTTTCTCAACAAACACTTCGGTAAAGCATCCTTTGGGCACATTCTTATCCATTTAAAAATCAAGAAAAATATTTATGAAGATAATTAATTCATTGTGTTTTGGATGTGACTATAGGCAGGGAGGATAAGGTAGCATAGGGAAGGACCACGGACAAAGAAAGTTTTGGAAATGCCTTTGAAGGGCCAGTATTACTATCATTTGCGGAAGGGGTGGTTATTTGATTTGGTTTTGCAACTGGATTGAAAGGATGGAAGCAACACTCAGCCTATGGGGTAGGTAATGAGTACATCATAACCTGCAATGGAACAGATTTGCCACTTCCTGATTCTGAAACACAATGGGAATCCGATCCTAGCTTTGAAAATATATCTTCACCCAGAAGTAGGTTACCATAAAGAAGATATCCTTCAGCAAGTACTTATCGATCACACACTCAGTGCCAGGAACCATTCTGGGGGCTATTGGTATTACAATCTATAAGGCAAACATTGTCCCCACCATGATGAAAGCTTTGTTCAGACAAATCATGTGCAGAAGTCCTTTATATTTACATAAAAGATAGAAGATGAATAAAGGTAAGAGTAGAGATGCTCTAGCTTAATTAAGTGTAGGGAGCCTGGATCCCTCCCTGCTTCCCCATTTCTTCTGTTCTTTCGAACACAGTACATTGGTACGAAACCACTGTCCTTACAAACTTCACACCATATTACCATCTCGGGTTAGGGGATAGCAGTGTCTACTGAAAGGATTAAGTTTCAGTAAATCCCAGAAAGATGTTTGCCAATCATTCTTGTTTTAAACTTTTAGAGAATTATTTATATTATTAAGTTTTTGAATAGTCTAGCTTTATCATCCATTCATCCATTCAATACATGAGTGCCTTCTCTACCTAAAACACTGAGGATAGTGTGTGAAGAGTTCTTGCCAGGAAGATAGGCTTTTAACACTTAATTACACAATCAATTATTTAATTACGATTGTGTTGAGTGCTATGAAGAGAAAGTACAGGATACTTTGAAAGTGTGGTGCTGTGAAGATTTCCTTGAGGAAGTGACGTTCATACAGATCACTGGTCGATTACTAGGAATTAATTCGTCCAGGGATTGTAAGTTCAAATTCCTTCTGGGTGGCAGACAGGTAACACCAATGTGTGCGTCTGACTGAAAGAAATACGAGGGCCTTAGGCAGACTGGAGCATGTCTACTGGCCTTAAGGCATTCAAATTCAAGCTTTAAAAATCTCTGGGCTGAAAAAAAAAAAAAAAAAATCTCTGGGCTGGCCAAACAAAAGAGGTCTGCCTCCAGAGAAGGCCTCTTCAATCTTCTCAGTCACCAAGGCACTTGGCTGGCAGTTGGGAAGCAGGGGGCCGCTAGCCGCCCGGACCAGGGAAGCCACTGTCCAGGATGCTAAGTGTGCTGCACTGCCCGGTGCAACTCTTGTTTTTTTTTTTTAAATCACAGTTTTATTCTTTTCCTTTTCAATAAATTTATTTATTTTCTTTATTTATTTTTGGCTACATTGGGTCTTCGTTGCTACGCAGGGGCTTTTCTCTAGTTGCAGAGAGCGGGGGATACTCTTCGTTGTGGTTTGCGGACTTCTCATTGCCGTGGCTTCTCTTGTTGCAGAGCATGGGCTCTAGGGGCGCAGGCTTCAGTAGTTGTGGCTCACGGGCTTCAGCAGTTGTGGCTTGTGGGTTTCAGTAGTTGTGGCTCGCGGGCTCTAGAGCGCAGGCTCAGTAGTTGTGGTGCACGGGCTTAGTTGCTCAGAGGCATGTGGGATCTTCCTGGACCAGGGCTGGAACCCGTGTCCCCGGCATTGGCAGGCGGATTCTTAACCACTGCGCCACCAGAGGTCTGGCACGCTGCTTCGGCTCTCTGATTCAGGCAGGAGGAAGACAGGAGCAATGGCCCTGAGGCAGGAGGAGCCGTCTGTTTTGATGAGCCAGAAGACAGCAACCCTGATGGATGAAGGAGAGAGTTGGTCCAACCGGCAGGTGACAGGAGAAGAGCCATATCACTCAAGGCCTCATCGGCAGGAGAGCGCATCCCAAGTATCCTTGGGTGCACTAAAGGGTTTTAAGCAGAGAAGTGAATTAATTAGACATAGTTTTAAAAGCTCACTGTGGGGAATTCCCTGGTGGACCAGTGGTTAGGACTCTGTGCTTTCACTGCCTAGGGCCCGGGTAGGGGAACTAAGATCCTGCAAGCCGAGCTACTCAGCCAACAAAAAGGAAAAGAAAAAAAATGTGGTGAAAAGCTCACGGGACAACAACATAGGAAAGGACTGGAAGCAGCAGTTAGGAAGCTGCTGTGGTGGTTCCCTGTCTCCCCCTTAGCTTTGCATCCACGTCATGTAAATAACTGTGCTTGTCTTCACGCAGTCTGACGCCTGTATTCCTCACTATAGATGACCAGGTTGGATGCTTCCTTCTTAGTTCCCAGTCTGACAAAGAAATCACAGATGTCTGTGCCCTGGAGTGGAATCTTCTATTTGCTGGCTAATATGGCCTTTGGTTCACTTACTGAAACCAAGATGGGTAAGACAGTCAAGCCTCAAGAAATTCACATGACTGGGAAGAGAGATCCTTAAGCCAATGAACAGTAAGTACGGTGGTACCAGCAATGCTAATATAAATCTGAAGTATTATGAGAGCATGAGCACATGTAGCTAACCTGCCAGGGGTGAGACTTCACTTGCAAATCTAAATACTGTTGCTGGATTGATCATTTGGTTTAGGATTCTAAAAACAATTCTTCTCTCGAGATGATCTCATGCCGACTTTGTCAATTAACAGATATAAATGTATACGATTATTTGACTTGGTGTGTAAATAACTTGCGTAGGTCGTGTGTCCATTCTCTTGGTGACGCCGTTCTTGGTTCTTGAAGAGACAAGAAAAAGGCAAGTGCTGTGAGTCAGCAAGTCTCCATCATGTTTATTTAAAGCTGAAAACTTGAAGTTGGGAAAAAAGTTGAGTAAGGCAGACACATTTGCTTCCTCTTCTTTTTTTAATTTTTGCGGTACGCGGGCCTCTCACTGTTGCGGCCTCTCCTGTTGCGGAGCACAGGCTTCAGACGCGCAGGCCCAGCGGCCATGGCTCAAGGGCCCAGCTGCTCCACGGCATGTGGCATCTTCCCGGACCGGGGCACGAACCTGTGTCCCCTGCATTGGCAGGCGGACTCCCAACCACTGCACCACCAGAGAAGCCCTGCTTCCTCTTTTAAAAAATGGAAATGACAAGCTCTTGCAACTTCATACTCAGCCTGACACGATGTATTTGTGTTTTTGTTGCTATTGTATAAGACAAATTGGGTGAGCCTTCTGATGTTAAAATTAACTCACTTTTTTTTCAATTTATTTATTCACTGGTATACTTAGGCTTAAAATTAATTTCTTGCCTCTTTTTCTCCCCTTACAACTTTGTGTGAAACATGTTCAAATGACATTAAGGCTACGAACAAAACACTGAGATTAAACGTCATTTCCTCAGTGAAAATTACCTTCTTTGACATGGTAATCTTTCATTTTTATGATGTCTCTAAGTATAGATTCAAAACTCTCTAGGCTTGTATTAAGATTTTATTGTATAGGGCTTCCCTGGTGGTGCAGTGGTTAAGAATCCGTCTGCCAATGCAGGGGACACGGGTTCCCTGTTCTGGGAAGATCCCACATGCCCCCAAGCAACTAAGCCTGTGTGCCACAACTACTGAAGCCTGCGCGCCTAGAGCCCGTGCTCCGCAACAAGAGAAGCCACTGCAATGGGAAGCCTGTGCATCACAACAAAGAGTAGCCCCCACTCGCCGCAACTAGAGAAAGCCTGCACACAGCAATGAAGACCCAACGCAGCCAAAATAAATAAATAAATATTTTTAAAAAAGTACTTCCTTATAAAAAAAAAAAGATGTTATTGTATAGCTATTTTGTCCTGGGATGACTGACACAAAATCTTATGGTGGTGGAAATCAACTTTTATGCTGAGACCATTTATTTCTGCTCATGATCAAGGGAAAGGCTGTATGTTACAATCTCTAGGAAGGAGGGATATTTCCAGTGCTCTGAATAGGGAACAGAAGACATGGAAGTTTCTTTAACACAAGGATTTGCACCCATGTTCCCATGAATAACAGTGCAGTACAGCTGCTGGATGGCAGATCAGTCCAGAAGTTCGCCATACAGGGTTGGTATCACCATGCCGACTGATTCATTTTCAGAATGTTGCTCCAATGTCTCAGACACAAGCCCAAACATCTCTTAAGCTGCTTTTTCCCTCCAAGTGACCAAACTAAAGGAAAATAAAATGACAGTTTTCATCAGCTCATTTTTTAGCCTGATTTATACCGTCCTTAGCAACCAGAGTACCTATATTAGGGTACATTGCAATGGTTGTCGTAACTTTGAAGAAACCAAATCTCTGAGCTTTTCAAGAAATGTGTGCCAATAGTTTGATGGTTAAAAGCATTAAAACCTAAAACTGAGAGGCAAAATACATCATCTCTCACTATCACCTTTTTGAGTCAGACAGTTGACAGTGTATAGAGTTAAAATGGTAATAATAACTAGACACTACTTTGTGCCATGTGTTAAGACTTCTAAACATATTTCATTTAATTTGCAACCATAAACGATGTTGCAGGAAAGAGTGGGGTGCGAGAGGATGGTCGCATCCCAAGTCATGTCTGAGTCCCTGGGATGGCCGCCAAGTGTGGGTTCTTGGCTTTGTGCAGGCAAGAATTCAAAAGCAAGACATAATAAAGTGAAAGAAGGTTTATTCAGGGAGATACACACTCCATAGACAGAGTGTGGGCCATCTTGCTAGGCAAGAGGCTGGGGACTACGTTTTGATGTTAAGCATGTTTTTGCTTCACTGATACTAAAAGCTATTATTAATTCTTTAGTTTAGCACAGTGTCTATAATATAGGAAGCATTCAATGTATTCATTTATTCAAACAAGTATTCATGAATGATTGCCTTGAAAGTGTCTTTCAACTGATAGTTCTTCTGATATGGCTATTTAAATGTCTCTAAAGTAAAAAGCAAATTTGGAGAAGCACTATAGCAAGATGAACGTTCCCCTTCCTGCTCTTAGAGGCTTACACATTTATATGACATTAGGAAAGTAAATCACGGGAGGCAGCTGTGGTGCAGTGGAAAGAACCAGAAACACTAGCTTTGAATGCCCCACCTACCTCCTGCTCTAGAGTCCTAGCCAGCAGCTGATTTGGACACAGGAGAGTGCGACAAGAGCATGTCCCCCTCCCCGCCAGGAAGATGTAGACAGATACTAGGGTCACATTCCAGTGGACTGAGGTTGAGGGCAGAGTTGCAGACCCAGATGGTCATGTGGGTGTCTGTGCAGATGTGACTCAGGACAGCCAGGTGTTCGGAGCTCACCACAGACACACCAGGTGCAAGCTGGGGAGGACCAAGGCTGCCAGGGTATTCCGTGCTCTGAAAAGACTTAGATCCATTTCTCTCTGAACCTGGGCAGCTAAACTGGTAAAGTTCAAACTCCTTAGCTTGACACCAAAGTGCTCTCAGGATCTCACTCTAGCAGAACTTACTTCTCACCACCTTCAGACGTGTGCTCTCTGTCACAACTGAACAGCTAATCTATGGCTCTGGAAAATGCCCAGTATTTTCCTAGGGCTGTGCCTAGCCCCTGCTATTCCTACTACCTGGGACACCCCATCTCTACCCACTTCCCAGGACTTGTCCAAATCTTCCTCACCTCCTTCAGAACCCAGCGCCAAAAGCATCCCCTCCAGAGGACACTCCCTGACCCTCCCCTTCACTCCGGACCCAAGTCAGACATTAACTGACTGTCCTCAGAAAGCTCACGACACTTCGTATTTCACATTTGCCTCTTGCTACTTTGACTTATTTGTATCTGTGGCTTAATCTCCTTTACTAAAATTGAAGCCCTCGGGAGAGGATTTACATCTTGAACATTTTCGTACTCACCCCAGTAACTGGGCTCAGTGCTTTAAATGAAGCCATTACCCAATAAACACGTATTGAGTTGATTGCTCTCTATATTGCTGCCTTGCCTGTTATGCTGAGTGAATAAATAATCATAATTTAATGCTTCATTATAGGGACACAATTTATTGGAGAAGAATAACAAAAGTGGAGAAAGCAGACCATTACTACGAAGTATAAATGGTGACATGTGTGTGTTTAAATTGATACAAAAATATGTCCCCAAATAATATTGCTCTTAGTGAAAGGTAACAATATATCTATTTATTATTAACTACACAGCACAGATTTTCTGACAATCTCAAAGGAATACGAGGAATGAGGGGAACAGAGGGCTTGAAGACAATAGTTTCAGACTTCCCCTGGGAGTGAGCGTGCTGAGAAGCAAGAAAGCCTGATGCCCTCCTGCAGTGGGATTGTGTCGTTATTATCTATCTTATCATGAAATGCATTGTTTTGTGACTTCAGTCATTCCTGCTTTACTGAGAGCAAATGAGTGAGAGATTATGAGGAGGACTGCTGCCTACTTCATCCTCTCCTGGGGCCTCCACCAGCCACAATGGGGACTCTCCCTTCCCGCTGAGGCATTAGCCAACCAGCTCAGGCTGCTCTGACACGCTTCCTTCTTTCAAGGGAAACTCTAAGGCCAAGGGATGTTCCGGTGCAGGTCAGGAGGAATTCAGCATGTCATCAACCTAGCTAATCACGAGCTCTAACGAGTTGGTTGCATTTATCTGGTTTTTGTGTTTGGGATAAAGTATCTTGTTGGACTGCAAGACTGGTTTTCATTCTGGAAATGAACATTTAGTTCCCATCTGATGTGTTGTCAAAGTCCCCATGGCTGTTGCCCTCGGGAGTGATGCGTGCCCTTGAGAAGCTGTATCCTGCTGCACAGGTAATGCTGGCTCCCATAGCTACCAAAACTCCCAGAGGCTGAGAATGAGGAGCCTTCACACTGAAGCTAGAGAGAGACCAGGGCAGCGCTAGAAATTTTCAAGTCCCTTCAGGAGCTTACATTCTATGACTCAAACAACACAGCAGTGAAAGAGATTGTCTTTGGAAGGACCTGTGTCAGTTGGCCCTGG